ATGTACCGATATTTAGGATGTTTATGTACCGATATTTAGGCTGTTTATGTACCGATATATAGGATGTTTATGTACCGATATTTAGGATGTTTATGTACCGATATTTAGGATGTTTATGTACCGATATTTAGGCTGTTTATGTACCGATATTTAGGATGTTTATGTACCGATATTTAGAATGTTTATGTACCGATATTTAGGATGTCTATGTACCGATATTTAGGATGTTTATGTACCGATATTCAGGATGTTTATGTACCGATGCGAGAGGAACATGAAGCTCATCTTTCCTTCATGAAAATCTTCAACGCAGGAGAGAAACTGATCATCAACCGTCACGAGGGCAATCTGCAGAGCAGGATAGTTTATTGGTGAGTTTACTCTGCAGAGCAGGATAGTTTATTGGTGAGTTTACTCTGCAGAGCAGGATAGTTTATTGGTGAGTTTACTCTGCAGAGTAGGATAGATTATTGACGAGTTTACTCTGCAGAGTAGGACAGATTATTGATGAGTTTACTCTGCAGAGCAGGATAGTTTACTGGTGAGTTTACTCTGCAGAGCAGGATAGTTTATTGTTTACTCTGCAGAGCAGGATAGATTATTGGTGAGTTTACTCTGCAGAGTAGGATAGTTTATTGGTGAGTTTACTCTGCAGAGTAGGATAGTTTATTTATTGGCAAGTTTATTCTGCAGAGTAGGATAATTTATTAGTTAGTTTACTCTGCAGAGCAGGATAGTTTATTGGTGAGTTTACTCTGCAGAGCAGATAGTTTACTGGCGGGTTCACTCTGCAGATCAGGATAGTTTATTGGTGAGTTTACTCTACAGAGAAGATAGTTTACTGGCGGGTTCACTCTGCAGAGCAGGATAGTTTATTGGTGAGTTTACTCTGCAGAGTAGGATAATTTATTGGTGAGTTTACTCTGCAGAGCAGGATAGTTTATTGGTGAGTTTACTCTGCAGAGTAGGATAATTTATTGGTGAGTTTACTCTGCAGAGCAGATAGTTTACTGGTGGGTTCACTCTACAGAGCAGGATAGTTTATTGGTGAGTTTACTCTACAGAGCAGATAGTTTACTGGCGGGTTCACTCTGCAGAGCAGGATAGTTTATTGGTGAGTTTATTCTGCAGAGTAGGATAGATTATTGATGAGTTTATTCTGCAGAGAAGGATAGCTTAATAATTGGTGAGTTTACTCTGCAAAATAGAATAGATTATTTATTTACTCTGCAGAGCAGGATAGTTTATTTGTGAGTAGTATATATAATTGATCTGGGTTAGATCTTTATCCATATTTATACTAAATCTACACTTGATCTAGTAGGTTCATAAATGTCAATATCGAAATAATATATATATTCAATCTAGGTTGATTATCATCCAAATAATATGTATATTCAATATTGATTGATAAATATTATTATCCAGATATAATATATATAAAATCGAGGTTAATGAATATCATTATCCAAATAATATATATATTCAACCTAGGTTAATGAATATCATTATACAAACAATATATATTCAATCTAGGTTTATGAATATCATTATCCAAATAATACGTATATTCAATCTAGGTTAATGAATATCATTGTCCAAACAATATATATTCAATCTAGGTTTATGAATATCATTATCCAAATAATATACGTATATTCAATCTAGGTTAATGAATATCATTATCCAAACAATATATATTCAATCAAGGTTTATGAATATCATTATCCAAATAATATATATTCAACCTAGGTTAATGAATGTTATTATCCAAATAATATGTATATTCAATCTTATTGATAAATATCATTATCCAAACAATATATATTCAATCTAGGTTTATTAATAACATTATGAAACTAATTTGTTTATTTAATGTTATGGATGAATATCATTATCCAAACCATATATATATTCAATTTAGGTTGATTAATAACATTAACCAAATAATGTGTACGTACATAAAACCAGTAGTACGTAGAATCCGGATCCAACAAATCGGAACTGTTAAAAAAGAAGAGATTATCAAAAATGTCTAAAAAAAGTTTCATAACCTGGATCATGATCCGGATCCATTTTTTATCAACGGATCCGCATCAATATTAAATGGGTACAAAACACTGCCTACAACATAATTAAGGTTGATGAATATCATTATCCAGATAATATGTCAATATATAATCAAGGTTGATGAATATCATTATCCAGATAATATTTTTATGTATAATCAAGGTTGATG